GGGTTTTCTGTCAAGGCAGAACGTGAAGGGAACAAGAATAAATTTATAAATAGATCTGCTCAAGATAGTAATTTCCACTTCATGACATATTAAAACTGCAGAAAGAATAGTTCTTGTCTAAGAGAAGTACAACTTATTTCAGCAAGTATTGGTAATTTTTAAAATGTACTATAGCAGAGAGACATTAAGAACATCGCATGTGTTCAAACAAATTAACCAGAAAGAATGCTGCTTAAAGTCTTAAGTGAGGTGCTAGTAAACTCCCAACTACTGTGATTGCTACATACAGAACAAAGAAGGCATAAGAAAAAGACATACTACCACATTTTCAGGAGTAGATACTTAAGTTATATGAACAAGCCAATACAGGTACATAACTCATTTCAACTTCAAGACAGAATTATAGGGAGCTTACTTCCATTAATGATTGAAAGCTCCTGGAATATATTGTAAGTGTAACTGTCATAATTGTCAATTAGCAAAGTGCGTACAAATTCTAATTTCGGAACTGGCTGGTTTAACAACTTTTTTCTTGTACGCGATGCATCCAAACGTCCAGATACCAAATGACTTGAAATCACAACCTTCCCTTCCTTACAGTTATATCTTCGGAGTGTATCAATCATACTTGAGTCACCAATCCTTGCAAAAGGTTCAGGTGCTAACAGATAATGTTTTCTGCTTCGAAGATTCTGCCAGCAGGAAGAGGCAATCGTGGATGACGATGATGATGAGCACATGGCAGAATTCATTTTTGCTTGTAGAACTAAACCGCAGGTTCACCAATCAAATCCCTCTGCAAAACATAAAATGTGGCAGTTGGAGATGTCTAAAATCCTAAATCGGTCACTTCGCAAGTGATAAATAAATAGTGTGTTAGAAAGGGTTTATAGTCAAAGTTCAAATTTCCTTGGCATCATAAACCAAAAATGTATTTTTTTTTCCCCTTGCTCTCTTGAAAATGCAATCCCACTGCCCCTAAAGGCAAACTACCAAATAACTTTCAGTGTTCCAATTCTGCTATAGCAAGTACAAGTACAACAAAACTAATGAACCCTCACTCTTAAGTTCTAAACTGTCTACAATTTTTACCACCTCTTCTAAAGAATAGAGCAGCCAAAAAGTTGATTCATTTTTCTTTTATTTTCCTAAAAAGTAAACAGCCAGCCGAAAAGATAATACATGTCCAACGAGTTCTGCAGAATCTTTCAACTTCGTTTCTCTAGCTGTTGCAAAATTCAATAGTAACTGATTCAGCTATTTAATGAATTACATGTTCACAAATATTTTCTACAACTAAAGCTCCAAGGCATAAGAAAAAAATACATGAAGCCCACCATGGACAAAAAGAAGCATTTCTGAACACATCCTTTTCATAGAAACGTTAATATCAGCGAAACAATGACGTTTTTACTTACATGCACACATAGGCATACAAACTGAAATACACAGCATCAACCCAAGAAGTAGATCTCACAGAGAAATGCAATGGACTTAACAGATCCAAAAACGTTTGGTGGAAAAGTAATACCTATGGTTGGGATGTTGATGGTGCCGCAGCAATAACTTGTTTTCCAAATCTCTTGTTTTTTATTTCTCTTACCGGTTTGGTGGGTTGGTGGAGGAGCAAAGAATGAAAGAGCCGAGACATTGGTGTGTGTGCAACCACAAGATTTCAAAGGCTGAGGCGGCGCGCATGTGTGCCAACCAAATTCGTTACCCTCAAAAGAGAAAAAAAAGATTTAAAAAAGGAAAGAACTACACATATCTCGCACGTATTTATAATTTTAAATGGAAAATTTTTTGGAAACCGCTGATAAGATTTTTTGCGTAACATCCCATATAATATGATAACTAAAATGTTGAATTTAATTATGAAAGGCGTTTAGACACAAATATTAAACATACACATATAATATATATATAGAGGGTGTTTAGCTAAGCTTGACATATGTTATGATAACTAAAATGTTGAATTTAATTATGAAAGATGTTTAGACACAGATATTATACATACACATGATATATATAGAGGATGTTTAGCTAAGTTTGACAAGCTTAGCTTATAAGCACTTTTTAGTTTATTACATGCTTGGTAAGATCAAAAAGTATTTATAATCAAGTGTTTATAAGCTAAAATCGGTCTAAAGCCATAAGTTTGTTATCCCAAATTTATAGTTTAACAGCTTAAAAATACTTTTGATTTTACCAACAATTTTATTGTTTTATTGTTATTTGTGTTATCCTTTAAATACCTTTTCCATGATAAAATCCTAACAATTTCCATGACTTTATTCCCTGACCATTTTTCTCAAAACCCAAGTATATTTGTCACCTCTTTACCATCAACAACAATCAAACTCCCTATCCTTTGGTTAAATTATTTTCCATATTCTTATATAATTAAAGATCTTGTACGTTCCTAATTACTTTAACTAACAAATATCATTGGTAGTTTATTGTCTTTGATTGGGTCGGTAACTAATAACTAAGGTATTCTGTCGCAATCCAAAATTTCAAGCGCGGAGCCATGATGACGTCTAACATCGAATGTTAGGCAAATCAACGTAAACAGTAATATAAAAAGAAAAGCAGTGAATATCTAATAAGTAATCAAAGTCATAACATAAACCATCTCAAGATCTGGTATCACAAGTACACGAACAACTAGATTCAGCTAAATACAAGGGTTTAAAGGAATACAACACTGTCCGAATGAAATGAAAACAGTACAATAAAATAGGAAAGTGACTTCTAAGGCCTGCAAACGGGATGCAACTTTACCTCGAGTCATTGACTGGTATTCGCTAAGTGCATCTCGGGACTCTGCTGATACCAACGTCAAAATCTGTACAAGAAGAGCAGAAGTATAGTATGAGTACAACTGAGCCAATGTACTCAGTAAGTGTCGAGCCTAACCCCGACGAGGCTAAGACAAGACACCTACTAAAATCTATATATATATATATATATAAAGCAACAGAAATAACCAAGTAATAACGAGAAGGGAATATATAAAAAAATGAGCAAAAAATCGGAACGGCGAGCACAGAATCACCAAATAGTCTCTTTCTAAAACAAGCAACGAAGCAGCCAAGTAAATTCACAATTCGAAAATCAAGTAAAGCAATAAAATTATCAAATTGCACGGCATCACCCTTCGTGCTTTTACTCTCATCCTCACCATGTAATATGATAAATGCAATGGCACGGCATCACCTTTCGTACTTTTACTCTCATCCTCACCATATGATATGATAAATAAATTGGCACGGCGTCTCCCTTTGTACTTTTACGCTCTTCCTCACATGATATGATAAATGATAATAAAGTAATCAAGTGCACGAAAATACCCTTCGTGCTTTTCACTCTTACTTACCAAACAACAATAATAATCCAAAGTATCAAGCAAGGTGGGAAGCAAATTTCAACTTCAATCGTGGTGTTATGATAAGCAAATTCAACTTCCAAAATTCCAACAACTTCAAATTAATCAACAAACACGAAAATGAACAATTAAAGAATAACAATTTAACTAAAGCATAGAAGGCATAGTAAATGAAGCAACATGGTACAATAAATCAATTTTCACCGGCATGCTTTAACCCATGACGACACATATATACTGGTCACTTTGCATATACACCATCCTCACACATAATTCACATAGAAAATAGACCAACAAGTCCTAATTTCCTCAAGTCAAAGTTAAACACGACACTTACCTCGCTCTGCAACCAAATCAACAATCAACCACGGCTTTTCCTTTCGAACAAGCCTCTAAACCAATTGAATCTAGCTAATTATCAATCAAACAATTCAAAATAAACTTTAGAAACTACCCACAAATGAAAAAGGTTCAATTTTGATCATTTTTTAAAAAGTTAACAAAAGTCAACCAGAGGCTCGCTTAGTCGAAATCCGAGATTCGAACCTAAACTCGATTACACATTCATCCCCAAGTCCTGGTTATGTGATTTGATTCGAAATTTAACTTTAATTTGACGTATAAATTTCAATTTCACAAAATCCCTAAATTCTACCCAACATCCCTAATTTCTATCATGAAATTCATAGATTTGATGTTAAAAACTCATGAAATGTAATGGGGAATTGATAGAAAATGAATTAGAGTTGCATACAAATGAATTTGAGAAGAAAAAATTCTTCAAAAATTGCCTCTAGAGTGTTTGCCGTTTGGGATTGAGAAATGGTATAAAATAAGCTAAGTCCCGATTTTTTCTCTTTTACACAGCTGTAGACGTCGCATTTATGAACACTTGTTCGCAAATGTGATGTCCACAAATGCGACACACTAATCGCAAATGCAATCAGTGCATCCGGCCCAACGAAGTCACAATAGCGACATATTTATCACAAATGCGAAATGCCCACCTTCGCAAATATGGATAATTGCTTCGCATATTCGAAGCTGTCCTAAATGTCCAGTGGTAGCGAATGCGACCAAAATGTTCGCAAAAGCGACTGTCCCCACCTTTGTAAAAGCGAACTTTCCCTCGTAAATGCGATGTCACCCTTCCCAACCCCTTTATCGCAAATGTGATCTGTTGACCGCAAATGTGACCCAGACCTCACAAATGCGAGATCTGCAGTAGTGCCCCAGCAACTACTGAGCAGCGACAGTTGCAAACCCATTCGTAATACACTCAAAACTCACTCGATCCCCTTGGGCTCCAAACCGAACATGCACATAAGTGTAATACCATCCTACGAACTTGCTCGTTACCTCAAATTATCAAAATAACATCAAATAACAAGAATCGATCATCAAAACTCAAGGTTTTCAACTTTAAAACTCACTTTCACATAACACGCAGAAATGCTCTCGGGTCACCCCAGACCCCAACCAAACGTGCGTACAAGTCCAAAAATATCATACGAACCTACCGGAATCATCAAAATACCAATTCGATGTCGTTTACCCAAAATATTGACCGTGATCAACTCTAACCTTATTTTAAGTCAAAAATCATATTGTTTTCAAATTTTCACATAAAAGCTTTCTGAAAAGCGACACGGACCATGCATGCAAATCAAAAAATATCAAATGAAGCTATGGGAGGTCTTGAAATATATAAATTAGGGCTAGTACTCAAAATAACCTATCAAGTCGTCATATTCTCCATCTCTAAAAGAAACGTTCTTCCTCGAACGGACATAGAAAAGTGTCTGAACTGGTAAAAAGGTGGGGATATCTATACGCATATAGGACTCGGACTCCCACGTAGCCGCCTCGATCGACTAACCTCTCCATTGCACTTTCACAGAAGGAAACCTCTTCGATCTCAACTTACGAACCTGCTGGTCTAAAATAGTCACTAACTCCTCCTCATAGGTTAAATTCTCATCAATATTTGCCGTGCGGAAGTCCAAAACATGTGACCTGTCCTCATGGTACTTCCGAAGCATGAAAACGTGAAATGGGAACATCCAACTCTAAATTTAATTTAGATAAATATCCTTTAAAATCTATTTGACCATTTTATCCATGAGGAAAAAAAACTAAGGTTTACTTGATTACTTTCTATTATTACAGGAATTAAACTGGCTGAAGGTGAGGTATTGTTCCATCTATCCATAATTAATGTAGGCTTTCATTTTCTTTTCCTTCCTTAATAATTATATTTTTGCAGTCTTTTTATATTCTTTATTTCACTATAAAAGTGTACAACAATTGTCTTCCACCCGGTATTATCTGCAAATCACAGTACATTTGTTTCTTTTCCTATTGGATAACTGTATTTTTTCTATTACTGTCTTCTTTCTAGGGATTTGTCTTTATACGTTAATAGGTACACATAAACTTTCTGCATCAATATTTTTTTCGCTTATAATGTTTTGCCACAAGGATGTGAAGCTAATTCCTTTTTGTTCACAGTATTTCATTTGCCCAACCCACAAATAGGATACTTTGTGTAACGACCCGAACGTTTGTTTTAAGCACTTTAGCTCTATTTTCTCTATTTGATGCCTTACTTATGTGTAACTGTGGTTACTAACTTGTCAGGGTATTTGATTTGGTTTCGTAAAAGTTTCGGAGTGAATTGGAACACTCAGTCCCAAGGTTAGAAGCTTAGGTGGAAAGAGTTGACCAGAGTTTGACTTTATTATAGACGACTACATAATAGTATTTTGATGATTTCAATAGCTTTGTATGGTGATTTTGGACTTAGGCGTATGTCCGGATTTGGATTTGAATTTGGAGGTCCGTAGGTTGGGTTATGCTTTTTGGCAAAAATTGGAAAGTTGAAGGTTTGGAAGGTTAGACCGGAAGTTGACTTTGTTGATATTGGGGACGGATTTTGATTCCAGGAATTTGAATAGGTCCATTGTGCCATTTGGGACTTACATGCAGAATTTGAGGGCATTCCGAGTGTTTAGGCTTGTTAGCGTAAGTTTTGAAATTGGAAAGTTCATTAGTTTTCTTATACTTGAATTGAGGTGAGATTCATAGTTTTGATGTTGTTTTATGTGATTTGAGGCTTCGAGTAGGTTCATGTTATGTTTTTG